ACCTATTCACAGCTCCCAACACAACTGCCTAAAGAGCTCAATGCTGGTTTTATTTTGGCTCTGTTTCTCTGTTTTACTTCACACTAAATTACTGTTTCCTCTTCTCTCTTGTGCTCTTGGGCAACTTTTCCACTCATTCCCTGTAGCCTCTGGAAATTTGGAGACTCCCGTGGTGACTGGTTATTGCACCTGGTGACCGTTTAATCCTCTCTCTTTCAGTCCCAAACTTAAGCCCTGCACAGCTATTGCTTATGTCAGACTGCATGGGTGCTGGTGGTCATCTGCTTCACTAGTTGCTCTCTCAGGTGCCCTGTGGAGCTCTGAAGGGAGGTTTGTGTAGCCATGGGTCAAAGGCTATTCCTGCACCCTGCCCACTGAAGGGACAGACCTGCCTGCAATACATTATATTCTGCTCCCGTTGCCTTTTGCACTGAGAATTTGACATGAAATTTCTGCCAACACTGCAATTATTCAGGAGCTGCTAGTACAAAGAGGAGCTACAAGGGTTCAGATGAATGCCTTCCACATGTTAGCAAATACCATTCAAAGAGAAAAGCTGCACTGCTTGCCAGCTCTCCTCTGCGAGGGGAATCTGGAGTGCAGGTATGAGGCAAAGCCCAAAAAGCCTTCCAGTGGGCTGCAAGGGATGGAAAGCCCTTCTTATGGAGCAGAGAGCTCAGCACTGCCCCAAGGGTTAATTAGCAGCATCCTTTGCCTTTGGAGGTGTTCATCTAAGCACTTCCTTGGTGAGGGACAGTCTTTGTTGCCTAGATACAGCCTTGCTGGGGGGGTTGAGGAAGGTACCCAGAGCTTCATTAGAAGAGGATGTTAGTGGGATTTTCAGATTTAGCTGCACTATGTAAATTATTACCCGGGGCAGCCCTGAGGCAAAGCGGCTGCCTGTTACTATCAGCCACATATCACATCCAAGCACTGACAAGACAAATAAGGGCAATCGTCCCTCTCTCCTTAATCAGGGGGATGTGATTAGCTGGTGGAGGCCTTGGCCAGGTTCTCACAAGCACAACCCAGCTTGGCGAAGTGAGGAAAGGGAGCATCCCTGCAGACACAGGCAGGGATCAAGGACAAACCCATCAGCTTTTGGAAGGGGGCAGCAAGCAACCAGCAGACTTTCATGTCTCAGTGGAAGGCTGTGGGGTATAAGCATTAGAAAATAAAGAAGACCTGAGAAAATGGTGGTTTGTAGCTGTTTTTTTCCATGTTACACATGCCTGTACTAGAAGGCTGTATAGAAGGCTGTACACCCAGCAGGCGCATCTGGCACTGAGCTGAGAGCAGTGGAAGTCAAACTGTTGAGGTGTTGAGCCAAACGCTAATCATATGCTTTCTGGGACCATCTCTTCCAGTCTGATGCCTAACAAATACCTGAAGGAACTATTTCAGTAAAAATCCAACCTTGGACAATGACAGTATAAGCAGTGTTCCCAGTTCACATTCCCTGTGGCTCCCAGCAAGGCCAGCACAGCCTAAGGGGCATCCCAGAATCTCAGTACAAAGACAAGGAGAAAAGAAGACAAACTTCGGTGATGATGAACTCATGGCTTTACAAAAACAAGCATCGCTGCTCTTTAAACCACTAAGTAAGAGGCTGGGTCTGCACATAGAGCAGTAACCTTTGATCAGTAGAGCTGCAAGTGTCCACACCTGCCTCAACAGGGCCCACACCTGGAGCACCTTGCTCAAGCCAACTTGGTGAACCAAGGCAACAGCAGCTGCTTTGGCAATGCCTGTATCAGGAGCCAGGGCATTCCCAAGGAATGGGATCAAGGGGAAAGGGAGCATCTCTGAGGACTTCTTGGGAGGGAGGATGCTTGGAGTTGGAGGGGTCCCTTGCTTGGTGAGTACCTCAGCCATGAGGCTGTGAAGATTCTCCGCCTTTCCTAGAGGAAACTGTATCTGATGTTGTTGATGCAAAGTGAAGGGTCAAAAAGAGATCACTTCCAGGGACTGAGGGTGACTCCTGCCCAGCTTGGGATCTCTGAAGCAAATCTGGGCAAATACAGAATTTATGAGGGAAACAGATTTTCTCAAGTGACAGATGTGTGTTCTTAGTGGCTCTGTCCCACATTGTCTCTCCATCTCACTCTCAGCACCCACAGTGAGCAAGAAGCACTGGGAAGAGATTTTTCCCTGGACACTGAGCAGGAAGATATCCCTCTCCTTCTCTTTCTCCTCTTCTACCTCCTCCTCCTCCTCCTTTTCCTTCTCCTCCTCTTCAGAGGGTAAAGCACCAGTGAAGAAGCCCTGGATTCCCCTGCACCTCCCTGTCAGGAGCATGGTCTGGCACTCTCCAGTCACCACTTGTGCTCACCAGATGACACAAACTCAGACAAAGTGACATTAAGCAGAGCCACCAGCAATGTAAACAACAAACCACCCTTTTCCTTGCTCTCTGCTCTGCCTTGTTTCAGGCAGGAAATAGTACTCTGCAGCCTGACTTCTGTTCGAGGCTTCTGAGAAGGGGTGGGCAGGAAGTAATGGCAGATAAAGCAACAGCCTATTAATTAGAAGGCAGCACAAATAATTGTGACCGTGATATTTATTTTCATTAGAAAAGAGGATGTGTGCAGCGGCTGCACCAGAGTATTTGAAGCTCATCCTGGCCTGGCAGTAGGAAATGATCTACTCTGACTTCACTGAGGGGCTATGTGTGGGGTAGCCTGCAAAGTCAGCTCTGACAGCCTAAAATCACAGCCCAGGTCAGGAGCTGGTGGAAGATTTGTAGTGCCAAGTGATGGCTGCATGCTTGTGACACAAATGTGACTTTGGAGCTCAGCCCTTGCTCGCTTGTGGATACAAGTAAGAAAACCTGCACATCCCCTCCATCACTGCACATATACATCAGGGGGAGGTGAAGCTCTACGTGCTTGAACCTCACTCTTTCTGAAGATGGAAATGATTCCTGAATGTAAAGAAAATGTGCAAATCCTTCTGGGCACCAGTGAGTCACTGACACACTTTTCTATGCTAGTGCCCTTCCAGCCACCCCATGCTTGCACAGCCACAAGTGTTCATGCTGTCTGGTGGTGATGATGACAACTTATTGCAAGTTGGGATGACTTTCAGTGTGAAAGTGTGGGGTATTCCCCTGGAGATTATGGGCGTTCCGAGCATGTATTTAAAAAGAAATACATAAAGAATTTGAAAATGGTTGATTTAGAAATGGAGCATCTTGGTGCAAGATTTAACATTTTAAAATTTATTTCCTTTCTCTGTCTGTGATGTATATCATTAATTGGAGCACAGGCTTTCTAAACTCCTGTGTACTTATGCTTATTTACATCTTGGACACTGGCTTCATGAGAATATTTTGGATCAGTTGGAGGTCTTAATCACAGTTCTCTCCCTTTCCCTTGGAAAGAACTTAACAATGACCATTCCCTAGCAGCTCAAGGCTAGGCAGCTCAGGGCGGTTTCAGCAGACACTGACACTGCAAGCTGCCTCCACAGATGTGTATGGGCCAGTTTGCAACTTACAGACATTGCTTTCCTCCACCTGTTGCGCTGACAGAGTTTTGACCTCTTGATCTAAAGGTTGTGCAAGAGTTTTGCCAGTTGTTTTATAAATTAGACTGGAAAACCACAGCTGTGTCTCTGACATGCTATGAGCACCGTCTCCATTTCATCAGAGTGATGATGTGTTTTGTGAGGTGACCTGTCCTGTGATCTTCCTTGCTGTTGTTTACAGACACCATTTCATAGTAGCATCTTGAACTCCTGAATCAGAGATGCAATACCTATGATGAGCAAGAAGGGCCAGCTTACAGCAGGATTGATGATGAAGTTTCTGCTCCCAGAGCATCCTCTCACCTACTGCATGTGAATCATTTTATTTCATTTTGCCTTAATATGCAAGACTGTACAACACAAATAATGTATGATAGAGTGACTCACCACCATCCAGCCATCCACATGCTGGGAGCTGGGAGTTCAGCTGGTGCAATGACTTTGTCCATCTCCCCATATGATCCAGGCCACCTCTGAATCGGAGCCTGGAAACCGGTCTGCTCACCAGTGGACTTGGGCACAACATGTTTAGTTAATTCATATAAATTCTTCTCAAAATCCTGCCATGCTGTCAATGAGCCAGCCTGGGTGACTTTGATTGCAGGAAAGATCTCAGAATGAGCAGAGACAAAACATGAAAACAGGTAAAGGAGAAAGACCACAGGAAAACAATGTCAGTGACCCCACCTGGTTGGCTGTATGAGTAAGAAAGATGATCCAGTATCCTAAACCAGCCTGGTGGGATGTGGGGCTGGTCGCCCTGACTGTCCTAGACCCAAACTGTGCTGCTGAGTTTCACTTCTGTTTTGCAGCAGAAGGCACCTGCAGGGCTGGGCAGAGCTGTCTGTAACCCCCTTGCCCAGCTGCCATGACATGCTTGCTGCATGCAAGGTAAGTTCAAGCACCAAATCAGAGATTGGAGTAGGTGAGGCTGGTTATTTAGGTACACGGGTGCTGTCCTCAGGGCAGAAGAAGAATTTCAGATAGGAGTCCTTGAACTTTTTTTCATACTGCTGAACCTGGCACAGCAGTATGAAAGGCCTTTCAGCTACTACTGGATGTGGCTGAGATGAACACCAGCCAGTGGGAGGCCTCCTGTTCTGTCTTTAACTGAGCAAAACCAAGTCCCAACCTGGCAGCAGCTGAGCTGGGAGACACATGATGCAGAAGGGCCCTTGTCCCTTCGCTGCTGCCAGCCTGGCCCCAGCCACTGATCCTCCTGCTTTTCCCTTCAGCCAGCAGTGCCTGTTGAGCTGGTGAGCAAGCGGTAGCTCAGGTGAGCCTCCTTCACTGAGAGATTTGCACCGGCCCCTGGTACTGCTGAGCTGTGGCACAGTCCCAGCAGAGCACCAGGGCACAGCTGTCATCTCAGTGCTGAAAAATGTCATCGCAGCGCAAGGAGTGGTTCCGCATGGAGCTGCACAGAGCAGCACTTCAGGAAATTACCTCCCTCTAGTGGTGGCCGTGCCCCTTCGTAAGGTCACACACGCTTTAAGCAGTGGCAGGATTTTCTGCCTGACCTTCTACATAGCACGGCATCAGAGGAGAGTGGTGGCCCTGGACATCCCAGGAGCTGCTTCTGCCAAACTGCAGATGGCCTGCAGTGATCCCTGCTCTCTGACAAGACACCGCAAATCTCTGGGAGGTGATGCCTGCAGTCAGAGCTGGAACGAGCAGGTAGGTGAGAGGAGCTGAGCAAAAAAGATGGCAGGAAGGAAAGTAGACCAGGGAAGAAATGCGTGACTTCAGGGTGCTGATGTCCTCCAGAAGTCGAGGGAGCTGTTAGGGGGAGATTAATCTGAGCATCCCCCGCAGCTGTATGGAAATATGGGAGCTGTTGAATAACAAAACAAAGCCAGATTCACCAAGAAGGAAATGTTGACCCATCTGTCATGGTCTGCACTGAAAGCAGTGAAAGTTCAGAGGGCACTTTGGAGATAAACAGAAAACTGAACTTTATTAACTGTGGAGCTGAGTGTCCTTGAAATAAGTGTCCTGAAAACAGTGAATTTTACAACTACTGCCATAGAAAGGAGCATTATGCAAATATATGCAAAGTGAGCAAGGGATACCTGATAACAGAAAGTGACAATGAAAATAGAAGGTGAATTGTTCACTGGGAGATGTCCTAAACAAAAGAGAAAATAACTGAAGAATTAGAGACCCTCACACTACTAAACTTGATCAAGGCACTCAGATGATGTGTAGGCAGTACAAGGCATCCTAAGAAAGTAAGTCTGCAAATCAGAAAGGAAAACAAAACCCTGAAAAAGGCTAACTTCAGGGATTGCAAAGATTGAAGGCCAACTAACCACAAGACATTTGGTTAATCAATGAGGCATCTGGCTGCACTCCACCCTTCTGCACTGAAGAGATCAGGTTTTGCAGGAACTAAAATGAAGAGAGGATTGAACTGTTTCAGAAAATGGCTGCTTTGTGGTGACAGGATACATGAAGTGATGGAATCAGCAAAGGGTTGTGTCCCTCAGAAGCAGCTTCATATAGGTGTGAAAATACCTATTTTTTTACAACTAAAATACCTATTTTTTTACAACTAAAATACCTATTTTTTTACAACTCTGGAAGTACTAAGTCTGGAAATAGCTGAAGAAAAGTACAGAAATGCAGCTCAGTTCTTCAGATATCCCAACATTATCAATTTCTCATCAAAGTACCCATTAACCCACATTTAATGGATTTGACATCTTGAAATGGCCCCAAGTTTGTCCCATTCACTATGCTTTAAAGACAAGCATCTGACATGTCTTCAAGAAATGAGAATATACAGGGAGAAAAAAAAAAAAAAAAAAAAAAAAAAAAAAAAAGGAAAAAGAAAACAACTTGCAAAGTAGTGAGGAGCAATGCCACAGCGCAACCAGTCAGCAAAGAACCTTGTGGACTGCATTGTACATTAATGATAATTATGAATTAGTACATTGCTTTCTGAAGATTAATTAATTGATAAATAGAATAAGGACTGGTAGCCCTAATCTGTGGCAGGGTGCCATCACATAAACTTTTCTATAAACAACAAAAACAAAGATGTTGCACAAAGGAACTCAGCCAGTGCAGGAGACAGCAGAAAGGAGACCTTGCAGATCAGACCATGGGTTAAGGAAGTTGTCTGGAAATGTCACTGCAGGAGCATGGCACAGTGGTGCTGCAGTTTGTTAGATCAGAGGTTGGACTCAATGATCTTGAGGTCTCTTCCAACCTAGACAGTTCTGTGATTCTGTGATTCTGTTTTTATGCCATCTGTCTTGCTCTGATGACTAGAGCCCAGAGTGGACTGTATGTTACATTTGCTTCCAGAGCTGTTATTCAGATGGAGGAGCTGAAAGAACATGAAAGCCGGGGAAGTAATTGCTTGCTGTAATACCACAGAAGCAACAAAAGGCAAAATCTGTGCATTGGAAAAGCCAGGAACAGAGTACAATGGGAAATAATGCAGTGTGGGTGCTAAATTCCTGTAGGCACTGGGAAAAGGTCATGTTTTAAAGACTCAAAGTCAGGGTTGCAGATGTAGATACCCCTGCAATCTCTGCTGTCTCTTGGGGATTGGGTCATTCTGCCTGGCTCTTTATGGCTTGTCTGGATCTGGCGTAAGTGCCCCATGCGCTGAGCATCCACCATGTCATTTAAGAGATGGTATCTTCACATTGCAGTAGACCAGGTTGCCAAGAGTGCTGCTTTGATTCAAGTTATTTACACTAAAATTTCCTTTTCTATATTCTGTCCTCTCTCCTCTGTTTTCATATTCAGACATGAATATCTTACAAACCAATTGCCCAGAGTTATGTTTGTGGGGCAGAACGGACAGAACAGAAACCACAGAGACAAATGAGCTCCACGACTTTGTTGGCAGAAACAAAGCTTTCTTGTTGGTTTGGGGGCATCAGGTATAGCTTCACATACAGAGTTCTTAGATGTGTTCTAAGCAAGGACCAAGAAACATTCATTAAGAATAATATTATAGCTTCCTTTTAAAGCAGCATTTATGGAAGCATGAGTCAAAATACTGTTTATGAGACAAAATACAGTTTATGAGTCAAAATACAGTTTCTGCAGGGATCCCCACAAAGTCATTTGAATCATACACTAGTCTGGGACCAGGGCAATCATTCTCACAACTTGGTCAGCGAAGAGAGGTTAGGTAGGGAGAAGTTATGTTACAAAAACTTCATCTGGAGGTGGAATGACATGATCTCACATTCTTAGCATCAGCCAGCTCAGTGCGTCAGCATTGGCAATCAGTTATCCCAGCTTGTAAACAAGCTTGTAATCACAGCACTCCATGGCAGCATTCATTGGAACACACCTGGAAAGGTATGCTTGTTTTTAAAGAGAAATCCAAGAAGCAGCTTTTAGCCTGGCAGATTTTGATTGCACTTCCACAGATGTAATTATTGAATGCATTGATTTCATTAACCATAATGAGCACTTCCTTACCCATTTGTCCATAGCTTTCTTCAGTGGATGGCATAGTGCTTGCATAGTAGCAGGTCCCTCAGTCCCACCTGGCAGTGCATGACTCAGGATGGCTCCAGCACCACAATGCGATGCAAACATGTAGCCCTCCATTATTTCTTTTCACCCAGATGAATGAACCCTGAATCAGATGTCAATAACTATTTGACATTCTTGGAGATCTCTGCATGCTGGTGAGTTTATCTCCATACAATTTCCCTGTTGAGAAAGCAACAAAGGGCTTCAGCAACTGCTGCTCTGTGCAATAGGAAGCTGTGGTAGAGATTGAGCAATCTAAGGAATGCTTGAAACGCCTACTTGAGTATTGGCTCTGGAGCCCTGTGTTTTGCCTTTTCTATGCATCCTGTTGGTTAGATGTTTCAGTTCTTCATTTCATGTCACTTGGCCTCACTTTTTGGCAGGATCCTTCCCTCCTTGCCAGAAGCCCAGTGCTGTGTTTGTGGAGCAGAGTGCACAGGATGGAAGCAGATGAACAGGAATACACATGAATACATCACCAACTCTTACTGACCATTACATGAAGTTGTCTGGACCAACGGAACAACATCCTGTGTGTGACACAGCATCTTGAGTCAGCATTTGCATCATTCAACCCTTTATCTGCATAGGTCACTTTTCATTTCTGCTGAGCCCAAGGAACTGTGGCCATGGTTGTCCCATCATCATACTTCACTCATGAGCAGCTCACCCAGAGCTCTGGCTCTGCAAACACTGACAGTAACCAGGCAGTAATAAGTCTCACTGTTTGGGACCACAAACATGATCTCTGTGGAAATCACCATTTCAGATAGGTAAGCAGCTCCCTCTTTTAGCCCGTTGTGGGGAGCTAACTCTCCAGCAGGGCAGTGTGTGTGGTGCTGGGTACTGCAAGTCTCTCTGCCCAGGAGCTCCTAAATGCAGAGAGTTTACCTGCAGGTGGAATTCGGGGGGAAGGGGAGAAGGGCAGTGGTTTGCAGTGATTCATGTCATTGCTACCTTGCCCATTGTGCCAGCCCTGTGGTAGTTACATCGACACACCTTTCATCGGGAAATGAACAAATGATGATACAATCTTGTGATGTCTCCCCACAGCTACATTTTGAAATCCCCATGTCATAGCCTAACCTGAAACTTCATCAGTCTTCGTGTGTATTCCTGCTGTTCCAAACCATGGTCTCTGTGTCTGGAGATCCTCCATTCAAACCATCTCTTTCCAGCATAGCGTACATGTACGGGCACAATGAGGCCTGCTCTGTTTGGTACCAGGTCTGTCATAAGCCTGCCTTTGGTGCTGTGAAAAGGAGACTTGTGTCTACTGGAGATGCAGGAGGGGGAAGTGTCTGGTGCTATTCCTCCACCTGGGAGTTTTGTGGACTCACAGTGTGCTGGGACCTGAGCTGTTACTGTAAGTCCTGTACATCCTTTCTCATGTGCTGCTTTTCCAGGTGAACACATTTGACTGCCCAAAACCAACCCATGACCACAGCTGACAGCAATGGTGACTGAAACACTATCCATAGAGGGTGCCCACTCCACAAGATGAGAATGTCTCCTAGCTCCTAGTCTGGATGAGACAGAGCAGCTTTCTGCCCCTATGAACTAACGGAGCTAGGGCTGTGGCTGCATTCCTGATTTGACCAGCCCTGATGAGACCCAGCCTGCATCTCCCCACGTGCAGAGGGGCTGCCCTTGTGAGAGAGCACATTTGGGAGCTGGGAGAGAGGGGAAGAGTTGCACTGACATGCACTGCAGGCAGAAAACCCTTCTGAAGAATACGCGTTTCAGTGCTACCGACTCTTTTTTGCTTCTCTCCCAGAGCACTGCAGGGGCTTGAGCATGCTGGGTGTCTGCAGCCTCTCGTGTTTCCTGTTTTCATTCCAGTATCTGAAATGCTAACATACTGCATGCCTTGAATTCCAGCCCTGACGCACCAGGAAAAGGGGCCAAGGGCAGATGCATGGGAGTCTTGGAGCCTTTCGTGCCCTTTCCTCAGTCAGGCTGGGGATATTGATAACTCCCTGATTCTGTCCTTCATCCACTTTCCTCCCTTCTCTCATCTCTTTCCAAGACTTTCTGTATTATCCCTCACTATTTAATGCTAGCATATTCTTCTGGCAGAGAAGGGCTCTGATTTGCCCTTCTTTGCTAAAAGCAGCAGCCAGAAGAGCTCCCTTTCTGAATCAGAAAGGGATGATTCAGAAAGTGTGTACAAAAGATTGCTCTGAGATTCATGAGCTTTTGCAAAATATGTAACATAGTGGACATAATACCATTTCCCCATTGTAGTGATAGCTTGCTAATTCCTCCCTCTTCATGGTATAAATCAGGAGTAAAACCCTTTAGGCAGTGGAAGGATTCTTTTAGCAAATATTTAATAACACTGCTTTCTGCGCAGCATCAACCAGACGCATCTGTTACGTGCCGTCCCTCAAGTCCCCATCCAGCACGCACACCGTGCCCAAGACACACAAAACATGCAGATTTGGCAATTCGTGATTTAAGAGACAAATCCTGACAAAATTACAGTGGTTAGTTGAGGCCAGATGTTGAGAGCAGAAATGTGGACTCTAAGCTGTGGCCAAGGCAAAACCCAAGCAACGTGCAATGGCACGGGAGCTTTCCAGCCCCATCTGCAGCACCTGCTGTTGGCAGGACCCACTCTCATTTCATCCCCTGCTAATGTCTGCAGGAGCTCATGTCACTGCTCAGCTTTGGCCAAGGCAAAGCTGGTAGCTGTGCCCACAGACGGGCAAGACATGTACTGCAATTTCCAGTACTGATAGCATCGCTCAAAGGATTTCTTCCAAAAACTGTGCTGGCCCAGGGGCAGCTGCCTTTCCCCATGAGGAAGGTGACAGTAGTGTGAGAGTGAGTCACGGAGAAGCAGCAGATTTCCACCCAAAGTGGAGCTTTCTCCACACATAGCCATCCCACTCTGCCCATGACTTTGAGCTTGCAGCTTTTCTGTCCCAAAAGAAAGCAGCTCCACTTTTTTATGTACCTACTGCCTGTTCCTCTGTGACTCCCTGCCTGCCCCCTCTCCCAGCTTCAGGGACCTGAATATCCCAGACCCACTGTCAGTGTGGAGAGGAGTGGGGCAGGGAGGGAAGGATCATCTCCAGGTGGCATAAGAGATAAGGGCAGAGGAGCAGCAGTGAAAGACCACTCCAGCAGGACAGCAGGTCTCAGCCCAACCCACAGAGTTCAGGTTTCCAGCCTAGGATCAGCTGTCTTTGAGGGCTACTACTCAGGTGTCTCTGCAAGATCAGATAACCCTTCAGATAACAGCAGACTTTAGTCCCGAGGCACAGCTCACACTCCTGGAAGTGCCTTAAGGACATGGAAGCTGAAACCCCCTGTGCTGGACGAGAGCAGCTCCTGCTCATGGAGATGTTGTGAAGCGAGGCAATGCCCTGTGCTCCCTGCAGGCCATGCGGAGCCATTGGGGCTGCAGCATCCTCCGTCCCCCAGCTGCAGCTGCCCATCCACAGGGGGATCCTGAACACAGCACCCAGAAGCTTCGTGGGCTGACCCCAACTCCTCTGAGACCACTTCAGCTCCATGTCAGTAGTTGGTTCCTTTGTTTTGGGCTTCTCATGAAAACTTCTCTTTTTCATTGTTTAAAACCATATCCTATTCCCAGCATCTTGAACTGAAAGGTATAAAAGACAAATGGTTTCTCGCACAATGTTTTAATTATTTAGTTAAAGAAGGGGCTGTATTTTGTCTTATTTTACTCACTTAGAGACACAGGCAGTTTAAAGTGGACATGCAATTAATTAAAATTGATAGCTCTACTTTTTCAGGAAGCTTATTTTTTTTTAAAAATGTTGCTTTCACTAGTGTTTTCTTTTTACTACCTTCACCATCCTCTCCCTTACTTTTTACCTTTGCTGCATCTGAGACATGTTTTTCTTGTGAGAAAAGTAAAAAAAAAATTGAAAAACAGAAAACCACGTGAGAGATGAGAAAAAGTGATCAAATTGCCTATTTCTTCTAGGTCAAAAGCACAGAATCGGTGTGCAATGTTCTCCAGCATTCTTGCACAGCTCTAGGAAAGAGGCTTGTTCTGAAAAGGCTGTTCTGATGAAATCACATTTTCCATTACCAAAAAAAAAAAAAAAAAAAAAAAAGTCTTCATCAAAGACATCTTGACAGCTTGACCTTGGCTTTGCTAGCTGGCTGGAGCAGGGATTCTCTCAGTTCTTTACATAAGTGTTTACAGGGACTGAAGTGCCTACAGCAGAGGCTGCTCCTGTGCCCATATGTGTTGTGACCCTTCTTCCCAGCTGGGCCATTCCAGGCTGTAATGTCAGGCAGGGCTCAGTGGTCAACATCGACATCCCAGCCAGAGAGGAGCTGAAGCCTCAGCAGCCACAGAGGGAGGCCTCTTCTTTCTCCAGATGAAGCTTCTCCATTGCAAGAGACACACAGACAGGAACCATGTGGTTGGAGCCTGCCGAAGTGGGGCAAGCCATGGATCCATGAGGTCCTTGTGCTGGATGGAGCCAGCCCCCATCCTTCCCAGAGCCTGTAGGTGCAGCCCCATCTGGTGGCAGCAAGACCAGTCAGAAGAGTCCAGCTCTGCTTGCTGCCTGTCCTTCAGCCTTGTCTAAGGCCGGTCCCTGCCAGAGGCAGTTTGTGCATCACATACTGATGGCTGAACCCAGTTTGGCAATGCCTTCGCACAAATATAAAGAACAAGTGGTAAGGGGTCTAAAACAGATCCTCTGATATCTTGCTTCTGTGTGCCTTTCCAAGTGGCCTTTCCCCAACACATTTTTAACATCACTGACAAAAGAAGCATATCTTGCATTTTCTGTATCTAATCATAAGAAGGTCTCATCCTGAGTTTTGCTCTTACTCCTGATCCTTCTGCAGTTTTCTGAAAGCCATTAGTTATCCCACCTCCTTCTGAAATTCACTTAATCTTTGAGGATGAAAATTCATGAAGATGCATAAAAAGGACTGAAAACTTGTGTGCATGTGAGGACTGCCCCATTATGATAATGAACAGAAATGAGAAATATAGCAGGGGTATTCAGGGTTTAAGTCAATATCATTTAAGCTGATCTTCAGAGATTAGACTGAGGCTTAAGGCAGAAGGAAATGTCCTGCACCTTTGGCCTCAGGGTACCTGCACCTTCTGATCACTGTCACCTCAAGGAGCAGGGTCCAATTGTACAGCGCTTGCTCTTTCTGAACAGATGTGGTGTCCTTACAATCCTAGGAGAAAGGCTCAGGGACTGCTTTACTCAGTTTCCTAGACACACAGGTGTTTGCTGACAGAGAACATAGCTTTGATAGTGCAGTGTGGCCAGAGGTGACCTAAGTGGTTTGTCCATCTGTGCTGGAGCCCCCAGAGTTGTTCCCTGCAGGATCTAATCCCTGGGGTTTGCTCCTTGCCCTTCTACATGCACACCCTACAGCTATTGCTTCTCAGCTCAGGGAGCCCATGAGCTTATGCTCAAACACAGGGGTGGGTCCCCAGGAGGACATGGGACATGTTCAGCTCCCTCTTCACTGCCATTTGGGCTCCAGACATCTGTGTGCCAAGTGACATACCAAAATCCTTCACCTCCAGAAAAGCTTTTTCCACAATAGCTCAGCACAGTGTGGCTTACTACCATTTTAAACAGGGCAGACACTAGTGTGAGCCACTGCTTCCCTTGGTCTGATAAACCTACTCCATCCCAGGCTTGGTCTCACATGGTCCTGCCCTCCACTGCTGTCTCTCCTGCAGGCCAAAATCAGCATTCTGGGGAGGAAGGTGGGTAGTGCTGAGGTTTGTAAGCAAAATAAATCAAGAGCCTGGAGCTTCCATCTGTCTCTCCCTGAATGCTATGCAAGGCAGAAGCCCAGGCATCCCATTAGCCCCTCTGCTGCTGGCAGGACTCCCAGCTCCCTCCATTTGTGACCAGCCAACATGCCCTTCATTTTTCCTCTCAACCTTTATTTAATGCATTTGTGAGTCCAATGTCAGCACTGCTTCCAGATAAAAGCATCTGCTCGAGATAAAAGCATCAGCTGGAGACATCAATGTGATTTCTAAGTACATGAAGAACAGAAGGTGCCCTCACAGTGGGTCCGACCTTCACAGGAAGGAGCCAATGGGACCATCAGTGGGTATGATGTAGGGCAAGGCTAGAGGAGGGGCTTGGTGGACCATGCTGGGGAGCAGGTAGGAGCAGGGGTGTTCACTTTTGTCAGAACAGGTCTTCCATGCTTTAAGAGAGCTTGCTGAGGAGCTGGTCACCATAGCAGCCCAGGGGTGAGAGGAGGTGAGGGGTATCAGGTAGGGAAGGGCCAGAGGGGTCTGTGATATGGTGGCTTTGGGGGTCAGTGATGAGCAGGGAATGGGGGTGGGGGATGAGGGGAGAAAGCTGAGCAGGGAGCCTGACGGATGGTGGTGGTACTATGAGAACAGAGCTCCTTTGAGGAGGGCAGAGTGGAAAGGTGATCTCGTGGCTTTCCCTACAGGCTTATCTTGATGAGGGACAGTGTCCAGTTTGAACTATGGCAGGACACAGCTGGAACAAAAGAGTGAGGAGGGGCCAGCCAGGCCTGGCAGTGTGTCGGGGATGATGCAGATCAGGATGGGAGTGCTCAACTTCCCGGCAAGCGGAATGCCCGCTCTGCACTAACATATGCAGAAAGATAATCAGAAAGGCTGAAGCCCAGCACAAGCTCAACCTACCACTATGCTTAAAGATAACAAAAAATGTTTTTACAAATATATTAACAGTAAGAGGAGGGCCAATGAGAATAAAACTCCATCCTTTACTGGATGTGGTGGGAAACATGACTACTAAGGGTAAGGAAAAGCCTGAGATTCTCAAAGCCTTCTTTACATCTTTCTTTAATAGTCAGATCAGTTATCCTCGGGCTTCTCAGCCTCCTGATCTGAAAGTCTGGGAAGGGGAGCATAATAAACCCCTTGCAGTTCAGGTGGAAGCAGTCAGAGACCTGCTGCTCCACACCCGAACTGTCACAAGTCCATGGGGCCAGGCAGGATCCACCCAAGGGTGCTGAGAGAGATGGTGGATGTGATTTCTGGGCTGCTTTCCATCATCTGTCAGTGGTCATAGTCATCTGGAGAGGTTCTGGATGACTGGAAACTTGCTAATGTGACGCCCATCTATAAGAAGATTCATAAGGAAGACCCGGGGAACTACAGGCCTGTCAGCCTGACCTTGGTGCCAGGAAAGGTGATGGAACAGGTCATCTTGAGTGCTATCACACAGTGTGTGGGGGATAACCTCGGGATCAGGCCCAGTCAGCGTGGGTTCATGAGTGGCAAGTCCTGCCTGACCAACTTCATTTCCTTCAATGACCAGGCAATCCACCTGGTGGATGAGGAAAAGCCTGTTGACGTAGTCTACCTAGACTTCAGCAAGGCCTTTGACACAGAGTCTCACAGTATTCTCCTGGAGAAGTTGGCAGTCCATGGTTTGGACAGTTACACACTTTGCTGGGTTGAAAACTGGCTGGACGGCCAGGTCCAGAGAGTAGTGGTGAATGGAGTGAAATCCAACTGGCGACTCACCGGTGGTGTTCCCCAGGGATCAGTGTTGGAACCCATCCTCTTTAATATCTTTATTGATGATTTGGATGAGGGAATTGAGTGCACCCTAAGTACATTTGTAGAAAACACCAAATTGGGGGGAAGTGTCAATCTGCTGGAGGGTAGAAAGGCCCCACAGAAGGACCTGGACTGGATGGGTTGATGGGCAGAGGCCAAGGGAGGAGGTTCAACATTGCCAAGTGCTGGGTCCTGCACTTTGGTCACAACAACCCCACACAGTGCTACAGGCTTGGGCCAGGGTGGCTGGAAAACTGTACAGAAGAAAAAAGGCTCTGAGGGTGTTGTTCAATGCTTGCCTGAACATGAGCTGGCAGTGTGTCCAGGTGGCCAAGAAGGCCAACAGCATCCTGGCCTGTAGCAGGAATAGTGCAGCCAGCAGGGCCAGGGAGGTGATCGTCCCTTTTTATTCTGCTCTGGTGAGACTGCACCTCGAATATTGTGTTCAATTTTGGGCCCCTCACTACAAGAAGGACTTCGAGGCCCTGGAGCTTTGTCCAGAGAAAGACTATGAAGCTGGTGAAGGATCTGGAATACAAGTCTTATGAAGAGAAGCTGAGAGAACTGGGGTTATTTAGTCTGGAGAAGAGGAGGCTCAGGAGAGACCTTATTACTCTCTACAGGTACCTTAAAGGAAGTTGTGGAGAGCTGGGGGTTGGCCTCTTCTTGTAGATAACCAGTGATAGGACAAGAGGGAATGGCCTCAAGTTGCACCAGGGGAGGTTCAGATTGGAAATTAGAATAAATTTATTCTCATAAAGGGTGATGAGACACTGGAATGGGTTGCCCCTGGAGGTGGTGGATTCACTGTCCCTAGGGGTGTTTAAGGAGAGGTTGGACATGGTGCTTAGGGACATGGTTTAGTGGGTAGTACATTGGTAGTACAGGGATGATTGGATCAGATGATCTTGGAGATCTTTTCCAACCTCAGTGATTCTATGACTAATTGCAAGGTTAAAAGAAGATGAGCCTCAAAGTTAAGTCTTAGCTATAAATGTCCCATAGAAATGCTCCTTGCTTGCCAGAGATGTGACTTCTCATTGTCGTTGTGGTCCAGCTCTGGTGACTCCAAAGGAAATGAAGAGTTCCTAGCCCTGGGGCAACCCTCTTGTGTGTCCTTGAGAAAGAAGTACTGCTTGACTGTGCCTCGGTTTCCCTATCAATAAAACAGGATGTGTCACACTGCAGGATCTTGGGGGCGAGAGCAGCAGCAGGCATGATCCCTGCACCCTATGGCCAGCTAGAGCTTCTCCTCAGCAGCCCACCTCCAGGGTCAGCTGCCTTCTTGGCCCTTCACAGAACCATTTTGGAAGCAGTAAAGGAGACACTGATGCTGCATGATAGAAGACCCCCACTTTTAAGAGGAAGGTGGGGGCTAGTAAGGCCTGGGTTTTTCACTTTCAGACTGATCCCACCTCTCTGCTGATGGTGACAGCTGCCCCTGAGAAGTGATGGGTCTCCCAAAGTAACAGTCACATTACCACATCAGGCACCATGGCTCTCCAGAGCAGGCTGGACACAGGCTCAGAGCAGGAACATGAGCTGGCTGGA